AATGCCTTCCTTGTATTTTGTTCTCTTGTCTGATTGCATTGGCTAGGACTTCCAGTATTATATTGAAGAGGAGTGAAGATAGTGAGCACCTTGTCTTGTTCTAATTCTTAGTGAAAAAGCTTTCAGCTTTTCCCATTCAGAATGATGTTAGCTATAGGTTTTTCATATGTGGCTTTTATTGTGTTGAGAAAAGTCCATTCTGTGATTTTGCAGAGAGTCTTAGTTATGAAGGGATGTTGTATTTTATAAAGTGCTCTTACTGCATCACTTGATAAGATCACATGATTTTTCTTGATGCATTACATTTAAGGTTTTGTGTATATTGAGACACCCTTACATCCCTGGGATAAAGCATACCTGGTCTTGGTGTATAATCTTTTTAATACATTGTTTTGGTATAATTTTCTAGCATTTTGTTGAGATTTTTTGCATCTATATTTATTAGCAACATTGGTTTATAGTTTTCTTTCTTTCCTTTGTTATGTCCTTGTCCTAGGAATGAGGGTGATGGAGGCTTTATAAAATGCATTTGGAATGGTTCCTTCCTTCTGGATCTTCAGAAATAGTTTGAATGGTATGGGAGTTAGCCCTTCTTTAAGCATTTTGTTGAATTCAGAAGTGATGCCATCAGGACCTGAGCATTTATTTTTAGGGAGGCTATTTACTACTGATTCAATCCCATTGCTTGTTATTGTTCTATTCAGGCTTCTTATGTCTTCCTGATTCAGTTTCAGCAGAGTATATGTGTCCAGAAATTTGTCTATCTCACCCAGGATTTTTTGTTTGTTGCCATATACTCGTAGTATTCTCTGATGATCTCTTATATTTCTGTTATGTCTGTTGTAATATTGTCTGCTTCATTGGTGATTAGATTTACCTAATGACCACATTGCAATTCCTTCTCCTCTATTCTCTTCTCGAGATCTTGGGCACGCATGCACATGCACCCAGCATGAGTTTTAAGCTGCCAGGTCTGGAACTCGAACCACGGTCTCCTATGTGGGAGTCCAGTGGCATAACCATTATGCCATCTGCTGGTCCCCTGTCCCCCTTTTTAACTTTGGAAAGATTTCTTTCCTGTTTTTCTTTGAAGAATTATTTTATTTAAATTTACTTACTTACTCACTTTATTTATTTATTTAAATTTGACCAGAGAGGGACAAAGGGAGTGAAAGAGAGACCAGGGGTGGGGTAGGGGGAAAATGAAAAAGCAAGTTGCCAGGTCCGGGACTCAAACCACGATTGGCCATGTAGGAATCCAGCGCCTTTAACTACCTCACAACCTGTTGGTGCCTGCAAAGGTTTCTTTTGTAAGATGGGTATAGCATTTTAAGATAGGTGATACATTAAAAGGTTGGGAGTTAGAAAAACTACTGTGGAATGTGAATATGAATTACAGTGAAACATGACATCAATTTATAGGTGATCCCAGAATTCCTTAATGTCTTAAATTTTTATTTCTTCTTCTTCTTTTTTTTTTTTTTTTTTTTTAGGGACTTCCTCCCTCGAGGGTCAGGCATTGTAACAAGAAGACCTCTGGTGCTGCAGCTTGTTACTTCTAAAGCAGGTAATGAATGAGGATGTTTGCTGGATGGACCAGCACATCCTCTGGCACCTGTTAGCTCCATTCCTGGGTCTCCTGTTGGGCAAAGTGAAATAATTTTGTGATCACTGTGCTATGGGAAGCTGCCTATCTTCTTCATTACCCTTTTAATTCATTTGATTAAATTAAAGGAAAAGTTTTATTTGCATATAGGTCCTTTACACCTAATTTTTTGTTTTTAAGGCCTAGATGCTATATTCTTATAATAATTAATCTATATAGTTTTACAGTATAGCAGAACCTCTACTGCCCCTTTGGTATATTTCCTTCCTGCGTGTGTGTGTGTGTGTGTGTGTGTGTGTGTGTGTGTGCGCGCGTGTGTGTGTATGTATGTAGCTATAGCTGTATTTGTATCTTTGTAGCTAATGTGCTGTGCTTGCCCTTTCCCTTAATAGCCCCTTAATGAAGAAATGATACTTTTGGGACCAGCAGTTGGCGTAATGGTTATGTTGCTGGACTCCCACGTAGTTGACCACAGTTTGAGTCCCGGACCCGGTGGCTTAAAACTCACGTCGGGCGTATGTGCGTGCATGCCCAAGATCCCGAGAGGAGAATGGAGGAGAAGGGATTGTGGCATGGCTATCCCGCCTGGGGGGTGATTTCTCGCTTTCTGTCTCTATGTCTCTCTCTGTCTTTCTGGTGAGCACATGGGCCCTATAGCAAAAACCTCTCCAAAAAACAAAAAAATGATACTATATTTCTTTTTAAAAATAATTACTTTATTTATCTTTATTTATTTTAATTTGACCAGAGAGGGAGGGGGGGAAGGATGGGAGGGAGAGAGAGAAAATGAGAAAGCAAGTTGTTGTATCTGAGACTTGAACTGCAGTTGGCCATGTGGGAGTCCAATGCCCTTAACCACCATGCCACCTGCTGGCCCCGAGAAATGATACTTTCATTTCTTGGCAACTGGCAATATTTATTTTTTTATCTTAGTTTATCATTTTTGTTTTTTTCTCTTGGGAATTGGCTATTTTTATCTTCTATTTTTCTGAAAGTATTGATTTCCCTACCTTTTTTTATCAATTTCTTTGAATGCTTAAGATTTAAGCACTCGTTAACATCATTCTTCATAAATTACAAATATTTTGAAAAGCTTTTTTTGAGATATAATTCACATGCTATATATTTGAGCCAATTAAAGTTTGTGGTTCAATTTAGTATATTCACAAATATGCATGACTATTGCCACCATCAATTTTGGAATAGTTTCATCACTTCCAAAAGAAATCCCCTATGCTTGCACTGTCTGCTGTTTACCTTCCAAGTTTCTCCCACCACTCCAGCTTGAGGCAGCTACTAACTGTATTCTGTCTGTATAAATCGCCCTATTATGGATGTTTCATATGAATAGAATAATATAACATATGGACTTGTTAACTTGATTTTTTCACTTAGCATAATGTTCTCAAGGTTTATGCACATTGTAGTGTGTAGTATTACTTCATTTATTTTTATGGCTCTATAATATTCCATTGTCATTGGAATATTCCAATATTCTCCACCTCTTCTTCCTCACTAACTGAGGGGCATATTGATTATTTCAACCTTTGGATTATTATGAATAATAATGCTATAGACATTTATATACATGTTTCTATGTGGACATGTGCTCTTATTTCTCTTGGAAATAAATCCAGGAATGTAATTTTGGGGTCATATGGTAATTCTATGTTTAATTGTTTAGAAATTGACAGACTGTCTTCCACAGTGGCTGCAGTAGTGTATGAGGGTTCCTTCCAGTATCTTAACATTTCCTTGCCAATATTTGTGGATATGCTAGATATCTCATTGTGATCTTGACTTGCATTTAATAACTAAGCGTTTTCCCATCTGCTTAGTAATTATCTTTATTTGGATAAATATCTACTCACTTGTTGAATTTATTGTTTCTTTTCTTCTTTTTTATTTATTTATTTTTTTGGAGAGGTTTTTTGCTATAGGGCGCGTGCACTCGCTGGACAGATAGAGTGAGACAGAGAGATAGAAAGTGAGAAATCATCCCCCAGAGGGGATGGCCATGCTGCAATCCCTTCTCCATTCTCCTCTCGGGATCTTGGGCACGCATGCACATGCGCTCAGCGTGAGTCTAAGCCACCAGGTCCGGGACTCGAACCACAGTCGCCTACGCGGGAGTCCAGCGACACAGCCATTACGCTAACTGCTGGTCCCTGAATTTATTGTTTCTAATAGTGATCTAATAAATGTCTACTTACTTCCCTTTGTAATTTTTTTAATTGTAAGTTATATGATTTGCAAAATTTGTTTTCCTGTTCTGTTTGTTGTCCTTTAATTTCCCTGATGTTGTCTTTTAGAGCATGAAAGTCTTACAGTTAAGTCCAATTTATCTGCCTTTTCTTTCATTATTTATGCTTTTGGTATCATATCTTAGAATCCTTCCCCCAAATCAAGGTCCTAAATATTTATTCTGTGTTTTCCTCTGAGAGTTTCACAGTTTTGCTATTACATTTAGGTCCTTGATACACTTGCAGTTAATTTTTAGTGAGGTAAATACTAAACTTCATTTTTTTTCATGCGGATATACAATTGTCCCAGTGCCATTTGTTAAAAGGACTATTTCCTCATTGTAGGAGCTTGGTAACTTTGCAATAAATCTGTTGGACTTAGATCTATGACTTTATTTTTGCGCTCTCGGTTCTGTTAAACCGCCTGGCCTTGTCCTGGTGCCATACTGTCTTATTGACTCTTGATTTGTAGTCAAGTTTGAAATTGGGAATTGTGAATCTTTCTGCTTTGTTTTTGGCTGGGTTCCTTGAAGTGCCACATGAATTTTCGAATCAGTTTGTTTATCCCAGGAATGAAAGATTGGTTTAACATTTGAAAATCAATCAATATATCGCATCATATCAGTAGAATGAAAAACAAAGCCTATAGAGTCATCTCGGTAGACTCAGGAATAGTGTTTGACAAAATCCAACATCTATTTATGATTAAAAAAAAAAAACTCTTAGTAAACTTAGAATAGAGAACTTCCTCAATCTGATAAAGGACATGTATGGAAAACCCACAGTCAATGTGATATTTAATGGTAGGAAACCATCAATGGAATCTTTGCCTCTAAGGTCAGGACCAATACAAGGATATTCACTCTTGCTACTTCTGTTCAATGTTGTATTGAAGGTTCTAGGCAGGTTTCTAGTATTAAAGGAAAAGAGAGAAATAGAAGTCTTTCATATTGAAAAGGGAAGAAGTAAAGTTATCTCTATTTGCAGATGGTATGGTCATGTATGTATATAGGAAATTCTAAGGAATTCATTAAAAAACTGTTACAACCAATAAATTCAACAGTGTTACAGGACACAAGATCAAGATACAAAAACCAGTTTTATTTCTGTTACACTCACAATGAACACTCCATAAATAAAATTAAGAAAACAATTTTATTTAACATCAAAAGTGATGTACTACTTAAGAATACATTTAACAAAAGAAATTCAAAAACATACTCTGAAAATTATAAATCACTGTTGGGAAGATATTAGAGACCTAAATATTTGAAAAAAAAAATCATGTATTTATTGATTGGAAGGTTTAATGATGTGAAGGAGGGAAAACTCAAAATTCTTCATGACAGTACTCTCTAGAGTCAAATACACTTTATTAGAATCCTGGATGACTTCTTTGTAGAAATTGCACATATTTTAGAAGTTTGTTTGTTTGTTTGTTTATTTATTTATTTATGTAATAAGAAAGAGAGGGGGAGAGAGAGAGAGAGAAAGACAGACAGACAGATAGACAAAGTTACCTTTAACTTGGTTTTACCATATTGTAAATCTTCCTCCCAGCCAGCCAGTATCACAGTCATGTGTGGATCTGCTTGTTCAGGTTGACCTGTGATCTGAACCCAGGACTTCCTATATGACTTCAGCATCTTATAGTATCACCTCACTTTCTGTGCCAGCTGAACCTCTTAGTGAATTTTTAAAAATATTCTTTATAGAGTATCTATGCATTTCTAGTTGGGGTGTTCATATTTACTTTTTATTGTTCTTCTGATTTAAATAGGATTTTTTCTAGATTATAGAATTTTTAAAAATATAAATTAGTGTAATAATTGCATCCATTTTAAAATAATGTGTAATTAAATCAGGGTTATTAGTAAGCCCACCATCCCAATCGTTTATAACATTATATACAGGAAATTGTTGTTGACCACATACTCCTTACTGTATTCTTTTTTTTTTTTTTTCTGGAGAGGTTTTCACTATAGGGCGCTTGCGCTCACCAGACAGAGAGAGAGAGATATAGAGACAGAAAGCGAGAAATCACCCCCCAGGGGGGATGGTCACGCCGCAATCCCTTCTCCTCCATTCTCCTCTCAGGATCTTGGGCACACACACACACGCACCCGGCATGCTTACTGTATTCTGTAACACTGGACATTGTTTGTTCTATCTGTCTTCAATTTTATTTCTGTTAATCAACATCCTTCTTGAATAATATTTTCAAAAATTATATTTTCAAATGCTTCATCTGCATAAAAGTTGCTTCTTTTTAATTTTAGTTTTAAAATTTACTTTCTTATTCTATATTAGGCAGATTAAAATGTTATAAATGAATTCTCTTAGGTATTTTAGTTATATCGTCATTTCATCTGTATTTCTTAATTTATTCAATAAAGCATTTAACATAAAAACACTGGGACACCTGAGACAAAGGATGTACTGACCAGAATATTGGTAAGCTGCTTTGTAGAGAGGGCTAGTTAGTAAGTGACTAACTAGCTGGTAGCATACACAGCACAGCTATGCCAGACACAGGGACGATTCATGTCTTGAGCAGGACAGAGCAGGACTGCATGAAATTTCATCATGCTACTCAGAAGGGAGCACAATTTAAAACATATGAATTATTTATTTCTGCAAGTTTCCATTGAATATTTTTAGGCCTTCATCGATCATGGAGAGCTGAAACTGCTGAAATTGAAATTGCATAGAAAAACA